TATATATATATATATATATATATATATATATATATATATAGGCTTTTTCTAATAAACTCCTAAACTAAACACACGAAATGCCTGCTTTGTTCATAATAATGTAGGCAAGCAGTATTGAGTTCTTCCATTCATCATATTTTAGAGCAGGCATGGCATTTCTATCCCATTTACCACATTTTCCTCCTTTGTTCCACAAAGAGAAGAAGTTAGGTATGTGAGGAAGCTTTTAGCTGTTCTCGAGTCTAGTCTGCTTTGAAGATCAGAAGCATTCTCTCCACCCCTTCTTTTTTTTGGCAGGGGGGGTGGTGGTGATCTGGAAACATCCAAGACACACCAGGGCAGCTCATTAAGTCCATCCTCCAGGTGGGGCAGCATCCCTGATTAGGGGACTTCCTTTCTGGCTTCTTTTCTGGGAAAGATAGAAAATCCCTGTAATATTATCAGGATGCATTTCTCTTATCTATTGTCCTTTCTGGCCAAAGAGTAAATTTTTTAAAAGGATAAATATTCTTGAACTCATCCATCTGCTTGCATGCAGCAAAGGGTCCAAAATACAACAAGAAGAAATGGGGCAGATGACTCCAAAATTTTATTAAAATGGAAGATCTTGCATTGATGTACTTTATAAAGTGTGTTTATAGAACAATTATATTATGTACTTGTTGTGAGCCGCCCCGAGGCTTTGTTGCGATGGGGGCAGCATAAAACTGTTTTAAATAAATAAATCACAGGCAAAGTCCCAGTCTTGTCCAGGGCTGGCAAGAGTGGCTAGACAGAGGGAGGGACCGCAGGTGCTCTGGTTCCCTGCTGGTTAAGTCACAGTTGCACCTGGGAACTTGGAAGATGCAGGTGGAAGGAATTGGCTCTTTCTTACCTAACTCAGTTTCTCTGGTAATGTCAGAGCAGCACACTTGTCTGGGGTCAAACCCTGAGTGACAGCAGTTCTACCAGTTTTCAACAGCAGTATCCTCAGCCTGACAGTCCTGTTTCCCAGACTTGCCTAACCCCTTAGCCAGTCTGGCTTTTCTACACTCTCATAGTGCAACCTCTTCCTGGTGCTTCCTACTTGAACTTCGAAGCTCTGCAAGCTCAGAAAAGCCACTTCAGCTTCATTCTCTATTCACATTGTTTGTTTTTTACAAATTCTGCTCTTCTTGCTCTTGCTCTCTTCCTCCCGCACCTCACCCCATAGGTATTAGGTTAGGGACTGCTGGTTCCCTGCCCTGGCTTTAAATAGTCAGAGTCAGAGCAAGGCCTCCATTAGTTTTTGCCCTCCAGGCATCCTACGAAGTTGTGTTGCTGCTGCTTTCAACTTGCCTTTTCTTGAATCATCTGCCAAACCTTGGACTGTTAAAGACAAAAAAAAAAAAATTCTACACCTGTTCCAAATCCCATGCCAAGAAAACTTTATATTTGTTATGAAAACTGAGCAAGTTTGTATCTTCCCATTCTGCTGTAGATTTCTCGTTTTTGCCTAGGGATGGGGAGAAACAATAGGCTATGCTTGAAAAGAAAGCAGAGCTACATGAGTGGCAGGAAGATGTATGGAAGGTTTACGTGTGTGGACACAACCTTCTGCATGCTTGGACAGAGTGAAGTCCTACAACTCCCAGCATTCCCTGGTTCCTGGAAGCTGGCAAACTCTGCTCTTTAGCCGATCTGCATCCCATCTCAGAGAGGATGCTGCTGCTACTTCTTTTTTTTTTTTTTTTGCATGTGTCCTGCTATCCTTAGTGCTTTTCCCCTACATCTGTGGTCTGAATGCATAATATCTAGCATCCAAAGTCACTTTTCCAAGTCACACCTACCTACAGGACAACCATGATTGTTTTAGCCAGTCACTGTGGTATTTGTCTTTCTCTTGTAGTCTTCGGGACATACACGGATGTGACTCCTAGGCAGTTTTTCAATGTGCAGGTGAGTAGCAACACACCTTTCCCACATCCCTCACTGACAGTAGAGAGCATGAGTTCGAATCTTCAAATCTTCGGCGAATGGGGCAGCATAAAATGTTTTAATAAATAAAAAATCTGCATTTTGGAAGGCTTAGCTACTGCTCAGTGGTGGCACTGGTTTGGTCTTGTGAGGTCTCTGAGTGCTTGGAAGAGCATGAAGGGTGCAGCAAGAGTCAGTGAAGCAGCTGCTGTTTCACTGGCAGCTGGAGCCCACGATCCTGACCACAGGGACCACGTCGTCAGTGGGAGGCGGCCTTTCTTCTATTGTGCAATCAGTCCACGCTTCTTCCCTCTGCTCCCCCCACCCCCATTCTCTGAACATTTGGGTATGCCTTGCCATGCGCCTCTCCAGTAAAATGAAAATACCAGTGTCCTGCAAGCTTTGTTTGGCTTGCTTTCCATTTCCAGTCCACCATTTATTTCCCTCGCTTTCACTGAGTTCTGAGTTTGCTCCCTTGTGTCTGAGAGAGGGAACAGGAAGAGAGACTTTGGAGTCACTGCCTTGCATGGGCGAAGTGAGGACTGCAGGTGGGAGCAGAGTGCAGCTAATGATCATTCTTGCCTCTTCGGTGTTTGAGTAACATGTCCTGAAGTTTGAAAAGCAGAGGGAGCCAGGAAGTGTCTCTTGCCTCAAGGCATTATTCGCTGATCTACACTCTGCCAGGAAGGAAATGCGGTGCCTTCGTGCAGACAAGCTGTTGTGGTTCTTGCCTTCTAGCTGGATACAGAATATCGGAAGAAATGGGACTCACTCGTCATCAAACTGGAAGTGGTTGAGAGAGACCAGGACACCGGCTCAGAGGTTGTCCACTGGGCAACTCACTTCCCGGTGAGCGCTCCTTTCCCCAGCCCACGTGTCGCGCTGGGTGCATTCACTGAGGGCTGGGCTGACTCACGGCCCCTTCTTGCCCCCTCCTTCCCCACTTGCAGTACCCGATGTACTCGCGGGACTACGTGTATGTTCGACGATACAACGTGGACCAGGAGAACAATCTGATGATTCTGGTGTCACGGTAAGTGACCCTGGGCCACGCAGAGGATGCTGCTGCAGTGCACCCGCCATGAGTAGGCAGGTAGATTTCCGCCTGGCAGATGGGAGGTGGCGTTCTGGAGCCTTCCGCCCGGCCACCAAGTTCCCTTAACATCGGCGGCTTGACGTTAAAAGGCCCACAGTGGGTCCAGCGGAACTTGCCACCTCGCCATGTCTTGCTGGCAACCTTTGGCGAGGTTTAACTGGAATTGTACTTCTGCCCACAGACCTTGAGATAAAATGCAGAAGTCTTTTGTGCAATGCCTTTGCTTTCTCCTGTTGCTTTACCAGAGCGGTTGAGCACCCGAACATCCCAGAAGATCCTGAATTTGTCCGTGTCCGAACCTACGAATCTCAGATGGTTATCCACCCTCACAATACGTTCGACGAGGTGAGAACCTGAATGCGTTTGCGTGTGTGTGGGAAGGAGGTTGGTTGCCTGTCTCGTTTTTCGGTGAGGTGTGGGGGAAGTAGAGAGGCAAGGCGGAAGCGGGCAGAGCTGCTGGGCTGCCTCCTCTCCACAAAGCTTGGCTGTGTGGAGATGCTGCTGAGGAAGGGAAGAGAACTTGGCGAGTAGGATGCCCTCGCAAGTTGCTCTTGAGTCAGAGGCCAGCAGGAGTGAGGCGCTTGGGCAGGCACCCTTTGAATTTTGTGTCCCGTCAGGTCGAGAACTTTCTTTAAGCTCAGCCATGCCATAGTTCTGTCCAGGCCCAGTCTTCTGCAGTGCGTTCTCTCCGGGGCAGCCTTTAAAGATGCTGAGGTCACTGCAGTTGGTACAAAACGTGGCTGCCAGAATACAGATTGGAGCCAAATGACTGGGCCCGTTGTGCTAATCCAGTGTTCCTATACGGAGTCCCAATTTGATGTCAGACTCGTTTTTAAGAGCCCTTAACGGCTTGGGAGAAGGTTGCCTCAAAGATTCCTTCACCCCATGGAACTCCTGTGAACTTCAGTACTGGTTTCAAAAGCCTTGATGTGTCAGACACCTCTGTGCCACTGGCGCCTTTCCTGTCCTGCTTTGGGTACAGTTGCTGTCACAAAGAGGGATAAAAATGAATGGGTGAGCGAGGGGTGTGGAAGAAGGGTGTCCTTCCTGCGGGAAAGCGGTGCTGATCATGGTCCTCTTTCCAGAATGGCTTTGACTACATGCTGACATACAGTGACAACCCGCAGACGGTGTTTCCCCGGTACTGCGTCAGCTGGATGGTCTCCAGCGGTGAGTCACAGGCTGGGGGGGGGGGGGGGGGGGGCGCCGGGGGGGGGGGGGGGGGGGGCGGGGGGGGGGGGGGAGTTGCCGCAGAGGTGTGGTGAGGGTCCCAGCCGATTAGGATTGGGTCCGGCAAGCGGAATAACAGGGAGTTTCCACATCACCCAGCTTCACCAAAGGGCCGAGCATTCAGTCACCCTTTTGTGGCTCTCCACTTGGGATGCTGAAGGCTGGCTTCCCACGTTCCTTGCTCTGCCAGAGACTGAACTGCAGGGCAGACGGGATCCGGGACAAGATGAGGAGGTTCGAGGCTTCCACGCCGAGCCATTCCTCGGCATGGTCAGCACACTGCTCTTAACGCAAAAGGACTGTCGTGTTCTGGAATTCCATAATAAGGAAGTCGCTTCGCTTTGACACGAGCAGACCTTCGATCCAGGCTGAAAGGTCTGGATCCGACCCAGTGGCTGAGAGTGCTTAATTTTCCCCCTGCATTGCTGGCAGCCCAGCCCTCTGTTCAAAGGACACAATAGGACAAGAGCGGATCCTGCACCTTCGCTGTCTTTGTGGGGGCGCTTTTGCACGAGATGGCCGCGTTCAGCACAGGAAATTCAGCAGGCGCTTTCAGTTCGGGGGCTGCCTGGGTTCATGTGGAAGAAAATCCCTGTGGCCTTGGTGAGGCTTGCATTTAAACATCTACAGAGTTGCCTCCGCAAGTGCCCCCAGCCCGGTCCTTGCAGCAGCGGGGGCCACCCTGGACCCAGCCTTTGCTACGGCAGACACGGCAGCTGGGGCAGCACAGCACCCCGTATATATAGGGTGCTCTCACATGAGAAGCCTGGCTATTCCTCTGTTCAAGTACCGTCGGTGAATCCCAGAGGGAGAGAACCAAATCAAAAGATGGGCGGGCTCCTAGGCAGAGTTTCCCAGAGGGAATAACACTCGATGATGCTCCCTGAGGAGCCTCGCGGGGCATGGGTGTTTTGTGGGGCGCTGCACACGCCGCTCCCCCTCACCCGGCCCGCTTTCCTCCCTCTCCTCAGGCATGCCAGACTTCCTCGAAAAACTGCACATGGCCGCCCTGAAGGCCAAGAACATGGAGATTGCAGTGAAGGACTACATCTCTGCCAGGCCCCCGGAGTGCGGCGGTGGGAGCAGCGAGGGGAAGCCCAGCGTCCCCGGCCAGGAGCACAAGGGGGAAGGGACCTGCAGCCCCGTCCAGATGGACTATGCGTGACGGAGTGCGTGCCCTCCCCAGAGCAGCAGCCCGCCCCCTGCCTCTGTGGCTTTGGGGGGCCGCCCCGCAGCCTTGGCCCAGCCGGGTCCCTCCTTCCCTCCACATGCCTTCCCTACCCCCACTGCGACTGCCCTCTCTGCTGCCATCTTGGATGAGGGTTGAAGAGCAGTTTTGTGTGGCCGTTTCTGTCCTGCTGGTCTTCTTTCCCGGTGGGGGTGGCTGGGGAAGTCTCTCCTGTTCGTGGGGGGAACCTCCCCCCCGTCTCTCGCACACGCACCCTTCGGAGGCGCTCAGTGTCCTCGGGCAGCCCTGCACAACCGCCGGCCGGCACAGCCTTCCGCCGTTGGTGCCCTCATGGTCTGTGGGCTGGGCCAGCCCAACAGGCCCCTGCTCCTCTGCGCGTCCTCTCGGGGGCCAGGGGGCCTCCCCGGGCCCTGTGAGCATCGCCCCTCCTGCTCCCCCTGTGCAGGGACAGCCCTGCTTCCCTCGTGCCTTCTCCCCCGCGTTGCTGAGCGCAGCCTCTCCCGCTGCTGAAACCGAGCGCCGAGCCCGGCGAGTGCTTCCTGGTGCCTCCGCTTGGTCAGGGCCACTGGCCTCTGCCGCTTGCTGTGTCTGCGAAGGAAGCTCCTTCCTTAACGGCACCAAGTGCTCTTCCTCCTCCTTCGGCTTGGTGACATTCAGCTGCCACCGAGTTACCTTTTCAAATTTGGCCGGCATCCTTTGGCTTGCTGGTCAAACTGCAAGCATCCATCCAAGTGCTGCCTCGTTGTTCTCCAAAGGGAAAGCCGCTCTCCATCCCGGTGGTGGGTGGAGGGAGCAGGAGCTGCCCGTGGGAGCTGCCCGTGCTGCAGCCCAGCTTGTGTTGTCGTGGGAGCCTCCTGCTGGCTGCCCACTTTCCTGCCACCGGTTTCCTGGCTGGCGTGGAGGAAACCTGGTTTCCCTCGGGAAACTCCCATCTGTGAGTGCGTGGCAGAGGAGAACTTTTCTTTCAGTGGGAACGTGTAGGAGACCTTCCGTGTAGTAGGTACAGTGTAAACGCTGAATCACTTACAGCCAGACTGTGTGAATTTTGTGGCGCTGGAGCATAGCGCATGCACGCACATATCCTAGCAGTCCTCGGGTTTTAAAAGCCTAGCCTTTTGGTTTTCTTTCATAATCTAAGGAGTGGATTTCAGCCAAGCGCTCTACCTTGGTGGGTTCCAGCCGGGTGGGGGCTGGCGGAAGACACATTCCCACATGCCTGCTGTTCCAGCACGCTGCCTTTCAGGGTGTCCCGTGTGAAGCAGAGGAGTGCGCCTTCGTCTCTTCCGAAATGCATGCACTCGTGTGTGCTGTGCACCACACCTGGAGTCCACCTCAGTAAAGGGGCCGCACCCACGCTGTGTGCACCTTGACAAAGATGCTCTGCTTGCCACACTGTCCTCCAGCGGTGCAGAGCAGAACGATCCGTGAGAGTTGTTATTGTGTGTAAATAACTCTGGGGAACCATTTGTGCCAGTGGAAATACTGGGTGCTCCTGCCACCCGCTTTCATTCTGTGTGTCACGTTTTTAAAGTTCCACATGGGGCAAAAAATGTGAGATTTCCAAGCTGAGTTGAGTGAACCCAGAAAGCTGCTCTTCTCAGCCTGGTCACCATGAGTCACGGGGGTGTGCATATATGGGGAGGGGAGGGGAGGGTGGAATTGTGCATGGCAAACTCTTCAGTCTCACTGCGTGGCTGGCAGGGTTTCTTAGCCTAGCTACTCTGGACTTCCTTGTGCTTTTACTTAAAGCTAGTGTTTTTATTAAAGCCAGAACAACAATAAATGTAACTGATTGGTACAACAGCTTCAAGAGTTGTTTTCTTCATGCGTGGAACATCTTTTCTGGTTCTCCCCACACTTGCTTGTGTTCCAAAAAGGAGTTAAGTCTTAGGACAATATCGTGTGTTGTAGGGAGAGAACCCCCTTCATGGATCACTGCCTTACCATGGCAAAGGGGCTTGTATAGCTATGAGCTATGCCATTCAGGGGCACCCAAGATGGACAGGTCATAGCAGAGAGCTCTGACAAAACGTGATCCACTGGAGACGGGAATGACAACCCACTCCAGTACCCTTGCCATGAAAACCCCCGGGACGGTACCAATAGGCAACAGATATGACGCCGGAAGATGAGCCCCTCAGGTTGGAAGGTGTCCAATGTGCTACTGGGGACGCGCAGAAGGCTAGTACTCGTAGTGCCAGAAAGAAGGAAGCGACTGGGTCAAAGCCGAAGGGACACTCAGTTGCGGATGTATCTGGTGGTGAAAGGAAAGTCCGATGCTGCAAAGATCTATACTCCATAGGAACCCGGAGTGTAAGATCAAGGCAAGCTGGACGCAGTCAAACGAGATGACAAGACTGAACATAGACATCTTAGGAATGGGTGAATTTAATTCAGATGACCATCAGGTGTACTACTGCGGGCAAGAATTCCTCAGAAGAAATGGAGTAGCCTTCATAGTCAATAAAAGAGTAGGAAAAGCAGTACTGGGATTCAGTCTCCAAAATGACAGAATGATCTCAGTTCGAATCCAAGGCAAACCATTCAACATCACTGTAGTCCAAGTCTTTGCCCCAGCCACTGGTGCTGACGAGGCTGAAGTTGACCAGTTCGGTGAAGGCCTATGGCACCTTCTAGATTTAACACCAAAAAATGATGTCATTATCTTGGGGGACTGGAATGCTAAAGTAGGAAGCCAAAAGATAACTGGAATAACAGGCAAGTTGGGCCTTGGAGTACAAAAGGAAGCAGGACACAGGCTGGTAGAATTTTGTCAAGAGAATACGATGGTCATAGCAAACACTTCAACAACCCAAGAGACGACTCTACATGTGGACATCACCAGACGGTCAACACAGAAATCAGATTGACAATGTTCTGCAGCCAAAGATGGAGAAGCTCTATACAGTCAGTAAAAACTAGACCAGGAGCTGACTGTGACTCGTGAGCTGCTTGTTGCAAAATTTAGGCTTAAATTGAAGAAAGTAGGGAAAAGCACTAGGCCATTCAGGTATGACCTAAATCATATCCCTGATGAATATACAGTAGAGGTGACAAATAGATTTAAGGAATTAGATCTGATAGATAGAGTGCCTGAAGAACTATGGACGGAGGTTCGCAACATTGTACAAGAGGCAGCAACTAAAACCATCTCAAAGAAAAAGAAATGCAAGAAAGCGAAATGGCTGTCTGAGGAAGCTTTACAAATAACTGAGGAAAGAAGGGAAGCGAAAGGCAAGGGAGAAAGAGATACACCCAATTGAATGCAGAATTCCAAAGAATAGCTAGAAGAGATAAGAAGGCCTTCTTCAATGAACAGTGCAGCAAAATAGAAGAAAACAATAGAATAGGGAGGACCAGAGATCTCTTCAAGAAAATTGGAAATATGAAGGGAACGTTTCATGCAAAGATGGGCATTATAAAAGACCAAAATGGCAAGGATCTAACAGTCAGAGGAGATTAAGAAGAGGTGGCAAGATTACACAGAAGAACTATACAAGAAAGAGCTTAATGTTCCTGATAACCACGATGGGGTGGTCGCTGACCTTGAGCCAGACATCCTGGAATGTGAAGTCAAATGGGCCTTAGGAAGTCTCAGCAACAACAAAGCTAGTGGAGGTGACAGTATTACAGCTGAGCTATTCAAAATCCTAAAAGGCGATGCAGTAAAAGTGCAACACTCAATATGCCAGCAAATTTGGAAAACTCAACAGTGGCCACAGGATTGGAAAAGGTCAGTTTACATTCCAATCCCAAAGAAGGGCAATGCCAAGGAGTGTTCAAACTACCGCACCATTGCACTCATTTCACATGCTAGCAAAGTTATGCTTAGAATCCTTCAAGCCAGGCTCCAGCAGTATGTGGACCGAGAACTACCAGAAGTACAGGCAGGATTTCGAAGAGGCAGAGGAACTAGAGATCAAGTTGCCAACATAAGCTGGATCATGGAGAAAGCTAGGGAGTTCCAGAAAAACATCTACTTCTGCTTCACTGACTATGCCAAAGCCTTTGATTGTGTGGATCACAACTAATTGTGGCAAGTTCTTAGATGGAAGTCCCAGTCCATCTTATTTGTCTCTTGAGAAACCCATATGCGGGTCAAGAAGCAGCAGTGAGAACGACATGGAACTACTGATTGGTTCACAGCTGGGAAAGGAGTACGGCAAGGCTATATTGTTGCCCTGCCTGTTTAACTTATATGCAGAGCACATCATGAGAAAGGCTGAGCTAGATGAATCGCAAGTTGGAATTAAGATTTCCAGGAGAAATAACAACCTCAGATTTGCAGATGATACCACTCTAATGGCAGAAAGTGAAGAGGAGCTAAAGACCCTCTTGATGCAGGTGAAAGAGGAGAGTGCAAAAGTTGGCTTGAAACTCAACGTTAAGAAAACTAAGCTCATGGCATCCGGTCCTCTCACTTCCTGGCAAATAGATAGGGAAGAATTGGAGGTAGTGACAGATTTTATTTTCCTGGGCTCCAAGATCACTGCAGACGGGGACTGCAGTCAAGAAATTTAAAGATGCTTGCTCCTGGGGAGGAAAGCTATGGCAAGTCTAGACAGCATACTAAAAAGCAGAGACATCACCCTGCCGACAAAAGTGTGTATAGTCAAGGCTACGGTTTTCCCAGTTGCAACGTATGGCTGTGAAAGCTGGACCATAAGGAAGGCTGAGCCTTTGAATTGTGGTGCTGGAGGAAACTCCTGTGAGTCCCTCGGACCACAAGGCGATCAAACCGGTCAGTCCTAGAGGAGGTCAACCCTGACTGCTCTTTAGAAGGTCAGATGCTGAAGATGAAGCTCAAATACTTTGTCCACCTAATGAGAAGGAAGGACTCCCTGGAGAAGAACCTAATGCTGGGCACAATAGATGGCAAAAGAAGGAGGGGATGGCAAAGGATGAGGTGGCTGGATGGAGCCACAGCAGCAGTGGGTTTGAGCTTGAGTGAACTCCGGGGATGGTGGAGGGCAGGAAGGCCTGGAGGAGATCAACCCTGGCTGCTCTTTAGAAGGCCAGATGCTGAAGATGAAACTCAAGTACTTTGGCCACCGAATGAGAAGGAAGGACTCCCTGGAGAAGAGCCTAATGCCGGGAACAATAGATGGCAAACGAAGGAGGGGACGGCAGAGGATGAGGTGGCTGGATGGAGCCACTGGGGCAGTGGGTTTGAGCTTGAGTGAACTCCGGGGATGGTGGAGGGCAGGAAGGTCTGGAGGAGTGCTGTCCATGGGGCCGCGATGGGTCGGACGCGACTTTGCTAAACAACAACTACAAGGGAGAGAACAGGTGCAAATCCAACACTGTTTCTACTGCTTTCTGGCTTAGCGCATCTGTTGTACCATGGCGTTATCAAAACCTCAAGAGGTTGTATGCTGACAGGAACAAGGTCCCACTGTGCTTCTGAAGATGGGACTTGGACTACATTATGGGATGCTTCCTCCCTCATGGAAAGACAGGCCTGGTTTGCCTGCAACAGCCCATGGATTGCTTGGAAGGGTGCCGGAGTAAGTTAGCGGACTGGCTCATGGCCGTTCACCCACTTCTGTGAGGACATGGCATCGCCAGGTTGTTTGCTATGACATGAGAACGTGGAACTCTGGGTTGTTCCTTCCTCAAGAACCCAGAGTTCTGGGTTTGCACATTGCGGCGACCTGGTGAGCACACAACCTGGGTTCTAGTCAACATTGTTGTGTCTCTCCACCCAGTTCAGGCCTGTTGGTGCTCTGTGATTTTTTAAAGAAAAACTAGAATGCTGTCTATATAGTTGGGCTTTTCATGGCACAGGAAAAGACCCAATACAGATTTGTAATTTTTATTTATATATTTCTATTTGGGTGGATGGGTGGGCAAGCCTGTGTGGTTAAGTCATGGGGGTGGGACTCGGACGATCCGGGCTCTAGTCCCTGCTCAGCTGTGGAGCCAGCTGGGTGACTGGGCCAGTCAGAGACACTCAGCCCAGCCTGCCTCACAGGGTGCTTGTGAGGATAAAATGGAGAGCGGGAGGAGTATTATCTCAGCTGCCTTGAGTTCTTTGAAAGGCGAAAGGGCGGGATATAAAGAAATGAGCCATACACCACTTAGGATTATTTTGCTTAATTCTGGCTTTGCTAATCGTGAGGAAAGAAAAGGCACCTATGCCATCATCTTAAGATGCCCAGCGCAAGGTTGTTGAGATTTCAGCAGGCTTCTTCCAGATGGTAGCAAACCAAATGTGGCTTGTGTGCATCTGGAATCGAAGACACAAATTCAACCTATTTTTATTTTTAAACTGCCATTATTGTTGCCGGTTGGGATTGCTACCCTGTCTGTGCCTCATCAGAGTGTTTCCTTTGGTGGCCAAAGGAAACCAAAAGAGTTGCTTTCGTTAAAGGAATGACCCATTCATGGGCGACGTGTTCCTTGGCCGCCTCATCAGTGGATCACGTGTGGTATGTATGGATCACAGCGTTGTGACGGCCCCTTCCATCATGACCAATTTTCCAGCAGCGCCTGCCCAGCTGTTGTAAGAGATGCTGGCTGGGTAAGGAGAGTGCTTGGCCTCATCCAGCAAAGCACCTCAGAGAAAACCTCAGATCAAGCTGTACCGCTCCAGGGCAGCCTTCGCAGCTTCGTGTTGGCCTGCAACAGTGCCGGCTGAGAGATGCTGGGCACTGTCGGGAAAAGTTGCCCTAGGCCACATTGTGCAAACTGCTTCATGGAAAAGGTGCGAGTTAACCACAGCCTGCCAGTTTGCCCTGTGAGTCTCCTTACCCCTAAATGCTTTCCCACTGAACCCCCACATTCGGCGTGATTTAT